ACCATAATATTAAGGATATTACAAATATATGTGATAAGCATTATAATTACCTGACATCTGATTTCAAAATGTAAACTTTGCTGTATCTTTATCTAGGTGGGAGAAGCAAGAGCACTTTACAATCTTGGAAATGTGTATCATGCCAAAGGGAAAAGTTTTGGCTGCCCTGGTCCCCAGGATGGAGGAGAATTTCCAGAAGAAATGAGAAATGCTCTGCAGGCAGCTGTGGATTTTTACGAGTGAGTAGGGGCTGACAAAGTTGCGTGGGCCCACCTAAACCGTGGATCTACTATACATTCTTTATCCAGTAGTAAGTTTTTAAGTTTGGAAAAGGTTTTTAAATTATGGACTAGCAAAATAAACCAGCAATTCAGTTGCTTAAATGTTATAGTGTCGTATTAGTAGTAATCTACGGCTTTCATTTAAACTGCAGACCAGTGCCACTTAGTGGCAAAAACAGGAAATATCAATGGTAAGTTATTCAGAGTAAATCTTGTCATTTACCTGTGAATTTCATAGAACTTCTCTGCCACAAGGGTTCCAAGGTTAACTCTGTTCTTCACTCTGTGCAGAAACTTTATCCGAATGGTTCAATGAAGTGTTGCCAGCTGTTTCCTGTAATTGCCTTTCATCACAGATGTATCTTTAAAATGTTGCACATTATGACTGTAAAGCTCACTAAAATTTTTTTTTCTGATAAAAAGAATTAGATCTGTAAATCAAATAAATGAAAATATTTTCCAAACATTTTTTTTTTTAATCACTTTTTGTTACCACTTAGGGAAAACCTATCACTAGTGACCGCTTTGGGTGACCGAGCAGCCCAAGGACGTGCCTTTGGAAATCTTGGAAACACACATTACCTCCTTGGAAACTTCAGGGATGCGGTGATAGCACATGAGCAGGTACAGTGGGAGGCCGTGGAGCCAGATCATTTCCTCCGTCAAAGTACCGAACAGCGATTAGGTCATTCTTCAGTTTTATTTAGCTGCATCTAATTGTAATTTTCTCTTTCAGCGTCTCCTTATTGCAAAAGAATTTGGAGATAAAGCAGCTGAAAGAAGAGCATATAGCAACCTTGGGAATGCATATATATTTCTTGGTGAATTTGAAACTGCCTCTGAATACTACAAGTTAGTCTAATATTTTTGTAGATAAATGTAAAATGTTATGTAATCCCCTCAAATCATAGGCTTTGGGTTTAAAACCTGGTTGCTGCATACTAGCAGCAGGACTGTGGGCTTCTAAGCCTGTTTCCTCATCTGTAACAAAAGACATCAGTAACTTTTTCGGATTATTGTGAGGATTGAATAAAAGAGTATAGTTAATATTAAGCACTTAGCATAGTACCTAACACACAGTGCTCATAAATATTATTGTACCTAAGATTTAGTAGCAGTAGTATGACCTCTTTCTATTTTTATTAGTTTTTATCTTTAAG